TCTCTCTCTCTCTCTCTCTCTCTCTCTGTATATCTTTCTCTCAATGATCTTGTGTGTGCTGGTTTTAAGTGGTAGCATTCTTTCTGTGTGTTATTCAGTATTTTTCAGTCTTTTTGAAGAATTTTTGGGTAGTTGGTGGGTGCTCTGGTGTAGTTTGCCTCTTCTTTTCTATCAAACATCTATCACCCTCTTCTCCCCTCCTTCTTTTTTGTATTTTGTTACTCTCTTGTAACACCTCTAATCTTCGTCACTTATATGACCTTATCGTGTTGCAAGTGCCGTAAAACTCTTACTAAAACAAAGATGCATTTTTGTGACTTTTGCCTCACCACCCTCAGGTCTGGGTCTGGCTGGGAAGCTGCTCACCGAGCGCAGAAACAGACGTCATCACAATGGTGGTGGGATCACAGCAACGACCTTGCTCAGAGACCTGGTCCCGGTGGCGTCTGTCTCCGCGGCGGAGAGCGCCCCCCAGCCCGGCGTGCTGCGGAAAGATCTCCCGACGTACAGCGCCGCTGAGGTGGCGTCTCACAACAGCCGGGAGACGGGCATCTGGGTGACCTTCCAGAACGGAGTCTACGACATCACGGAGTACGTTCTGCAGCACCCGGGCGGCAAGAAGATCCTGATGGCGTCGGGGAAGTCGATGGAACCGTTCTGGAACGTCTACTCCGTGCACAAGAACGACGAGGTCTACGAGATACTCGAGTCTCTGCGCATCGGGAATATCGTTGAAGTCGCGACGAAGAAGGAAGCGGGGGCGACTGACGACCCGTACCGCAACGATCCCGAACGCTCGCCGCTGCTCATCCCCAGCTCGAAGAAACCGTTCAACGCGGAGCCGCCCCAGCAGATGCTGGTCGACCGCTTCCTCACGCCCAACCATCTGTTCTTTGTGCGCAACCACCTTCCCGTTCCGTCCGTAGAGCCGAAGGATTACCGGCTGGACGTGAGTCTGGACTCGGGGAGCAAGTCGTTCACCTACGACGACCTCAAGTCCAAGTTCGACAAGCGCTCGGTGGTGGCCGTCACGCAGTGTGCGGGGAACAGGCGCTCTGAGATGGTCAAGGTCAGTTGTCGGTATATCAGGGATGTCAAATCTCCGGTTTTTCCAGCTTTTTCCATTTTTTCCCTACACTTGCAAAGGAAAAGGTAGTGGTATGAGAAATGTTTTTGTTTGCTCCTTGAAAGATTTGACAAGGTTGGTTGTAGGTCAGGGGTCATGCTCCGTTCCTTTTTTCAGGTTTAAAAAAAAAATCATTTGGCATCCCTGGTTGACCAGCTGGTGTCTCGGTCAAAAATAATCATAATAGATAGCATCTGTATCGCGCAAATCCCCGCTCAACCGCAGCTCTATGCGCTTCACAATCTATACTATTACCCCAGCAG